CTAAGGACACCGAGCCCCTCATATCACATACCGTTGCTCAAATTTGTGTATCCATTCAAACCCGGAACCAACGACAACAACGAGTTTCGCAAAATACACGATACACAAGCGATTTTACCATAAATCTCTTTGATATGTAAGGACCTGGGACCGCGTTTTTCTGCTCAGTAAGCAGGCCACTGTAACCGACGATCTTTCAAATCCAAAAACTAAAAACTACGAAAAAGTACTTAGGCCTTCATTAAGTTCCACTTTCACGCGACGTTCAATGACAGGGTCCTATCCAGGATTACATCTGAAAAATCCAAATCTGGCCAACGCCCACCCTAAACCTAAACCTGTTCTAATCCACCTGAAATGACTAACGAATGGAAGGCTTTGACTACCCAGCCATGCAATAGTCTCATTCCGTGCCTTATGGCAACTTGATGATTCTATTGCGCTCATCTTTTGGCACCACCCAGGGGAGACTTTGTCCTGTACCCAATGCTTAACTTATCTCCTATGTAATAGTACGTTCAGACTACAGAGTTATAACATGTTATAGCACTATCTTGATGGTGGTTTCTGTGTTACAATTATTTGACAACCGTTATAACGTGTTATAACTGCTCAGTCTGGCCAGCGTTTAATGCATTCACACTTTCAGAATAATAAAAAATACGGTTTTATTCTGGCACGTATATATATATATAAGCAATTTTTTATATAAATATGAGCAACAATAAAAATTTAAACCGATCTCACCAACTTCTGCTGTTTCTTCACTCTTATGTCCAATTGTTGTGCGTATTTGTGAACTCATTATTCTTCTCTGCAGCGCATCTAGTCTCGCGAAAGTTGATCTTGAGTTCCTAGTTGCGTCTTGTAAAAGTGTAACACCAGCGCGGGTATTTTCCTGATGAGTATCAATTGGATGCATGTAATGCATTCACACTTCCAGAATAATAAAAAAAATACGGTTTTATTCGGCACGTATTTAGTATAAGCAATTTTTTATATATATGAGCAACAATAAAAATTTAAACCGATCTCACCAACTTCTGCTGTTTCTTCATTCTTATGTCCAATTGTTGTGCGTATTTGTGAACTCATTATTCTTCTCTGCAGCGCTGCTAGTCTCGCGAAAATTGATCTTGAGTTCCTAGTTGCGTGTTAACACCAGCGCGGAAAATAGACAGTGCCCATTCCTGGGTATTTTCCTAATGAGCATCACTCCATTGTCGTATCGCATGTGCTCCATTTTACTGCTCTTTTTACACTTTTTTCTTTGTAGACTCCATGGTACCGGAAAAGATATAGATATATACATTATTAGCAACAATCAATACGAAACTAACGATTTTAAATTGACTCACCACTTTAGTAGCCTATTGGTCCCAAGCAAACGATTAACGTACCCTATTCTAGTCGCAATTCTACCAACAATCAATACGAAACTAACGATTTTAAATTGGCTCACCACTTTAGTAGCCTATTGGTCCCAAGCAAACGATTAACGTACCCTATTCTAGTTGAAATTCTATTACTACACTATGTTTGTTTTGATTCGCTATGAAAGTTTGACAAATAACATCAGGGGTGTGTGGATTCATGCAGAACATGCAGGGGTGAGTGAAATAGCTTGGGACTGCTTGGGACCGTTGTTCTGGTACTGAGTGAGCCAAAAATAATAATGATTTTCTTCGGGACCCAGTGGTCTTAGAGTTACCTCTATGATTCTACTACTGCGCAATGTTTGTTTTGATTCACTATGAAAGTTTGACAGATAAAAAGAGAGGTTATTGGTTTTTCCTATGTTTCGAGGGGTGATTCGACAAGCTTGGGACCGAAGATAGTACCAGAGGTGAGCCAAAAAGTTGAGCACGTTTCTTCGGGACCTACTTGTCTTAGAGTTACCTCTATGTTATTAGCAAAGCTGTGATATAACCACAACGGTATGGCCATAGAGGTAACTCCATAGAGGTAACTCTAAGACCACTGGGTCCCGAAGAAAATCATTATTATTTTTGTCTCACTCAGTACCAGAACAACGGTCCCAAGCAGTCCCAAGCTATTTCACTCACCCCTGCATGTTCTGCATGAATCCACACACCCCTGATGTTATCTGTCAAACTTTCATAGCGAATCAAAACAAACATAGTGTAGTAATAGAATTTCAACTAGAATAGGGTACGTTAATCGTTTGCTTGGGACCAATAGGCTACTTAAGTGGTGAGCCAATTTAAAATCGTTAGTTTCGTATTGATTGTTGGTAACTCCAAGACTAGAAGGTCCCGAAGAAACGTGCTCAATTTTTTGGCTCAGCTCTGGTACTATCTTCGGTCCCAAGCTAATCGATGCACCCCTCGAAACATAGGAAAATCCACGAACCCCTCATTTTATCTGCCAAACTTTCAAAGAGAATCAAAACAAACATTGTGTAGTACTAGAATTTCGACTAGAATGGGGTACGTTAAACGATTTGCTTGGGACCAATAGGCTACTCAAGTAGTGAGCCAATTTGAAATCATTAGTTTCCACCGGTTGGTATGGCCGTTCAGAATGGTTAAACGGATGTGAAATGAGGGAACATTTAAATTTAACACGATTCAATGTATTCCATGTCCATGAGTTGATGGGTCGATAGATAGGTTCCAGGTGTAGGAGCTTCCTTTCTGGCGTCGGTAGCATTAAAGAATTACATAACCTTGTTTAATTCCGTGAAAAAAAATCATTTTGAATGAATTTGATATTAAAAACAATTTGAACTGAAATGCGATTGCAGGCTTTCACCTTATTATATAACAAATTCTAGTCTTATCACGTGTTCACAACGTTACGACCGACACGGACCACGTCCTAAAACTCAAATTGACTCGGCTCCACAATCGATGAGGCACATCCGTGACGACCTACTACTCGCATTTTGCTCATAATGTTACCAACAGGAAAGTGCTATTTCCAGAATTATCAACGGCAACGTTTAATTGGTTGGGACCAGTTCAGATTTATTTTGGCATTTTGGTGGCAGGGTCAAAGAGTATTAATTGTACAACACTCTCTTTGAACCATGTGAAATACGTACGTAGGACCGTATACCTATACGTATATAATAATAAAATTTGCCTCTTAATCTGGACCATTCTGTGGAATGCATGCGCTGCACATCTGGCATGTTTTGCAAGTATGTTTGCTTCAGAATCAAGAAGAGCAACTTCGTTGCTGATAAATGCACGACCAGAACGTACCTTTATCTGTTGCAACAAAGTAAAGCACGACGAATACTACACATAATCCGGTTATTGGCTCTCTCATCACCGGTAGCGTGTCCTGCATTTGCAAAAATAAATAATTGGTGCTTTTAAATCTATAGTAGAGCACAGAGGGGTCAACTGATAGGACACACGTCATCGGCAGTCGTGGTACTGAGATGCACTTATAGACTTTTAAACGTTTTTTTTTTTACTTCAAATGATCATTATTTCTTGAATTTGTGTGGTTTACAAGTGACACAAATGCATCTTTTCAACTTTAGTTATTTTTAATTACTATTCAAAGTGCCTAGTCTTAGCAGGCCTGTTTAGAAAATGCCCACCTGAGTGGGATTGGTTTGATCACTTATATTGATCAATTGATTGCTTGTAAATAGCAAATTGATAGGCAAAAGGGTGTGTGTACTCTATGAACACTTATTAGAGGATAGTTGTACAGTTTACGCTTATGGTCGAAGCTTTGGCTTAAATGCAGCGAAGCTGGATGGGTTGATTCGATGTGCGGGATCTAAGGTAACACTAGTCGACTCTTTCATTTTCCCGACGTTCTTATGCATGATAAAACCAGTCCCCTTCACTTTTTGAAATTTACAGATACAGATAACAGCGCCAAACGGTTTGTGACGAGACAATGTTGAACTGCAGCGTTGAAAGAAAATACGCACACCAACATGAATGTACGAACCCACACCACTGAGCGAACGGTATAGACCTTTTTGACGTTTAATCGTCTTTCTCTATCTAGCACACATGGATCAATGGACGGTTTGTTTTCCCACTTATCTGTTTCCCTCTTGCTCACACTCGTTCGATTTAAATGATGCAGTAGTGTGCGCCGATTAAACGTCAAAAAGCTCTATAGCGCAAATCAAAACACGAAGCGGTGTCATCACTCATCTTCATCATTTAGCTTCCTTGTGCATTCGCGGGCATTGACAAATTCCTTCCTACGTTATAGAATATGAAAGTAATCCATTATTCACCGTTATTTTTGAATAACAAGGGAATGTTTTTTTCCATGTTTACTTCTATACGCATAAGGATTATTTTGAGTAACAGCTTCGCAAATTATCAATTCTCGATTACTTTTTCGGAGGGACGTATCAGCTTTTGTAAACAATGCATTTGATCGTCAATTTGGCGTAACTGGTAGCTCGCCCAAGCATACTAACACCACTATCAGGTAGAGGAGAGTTTCCCCAATCTTATGTTACTGTTAGTATGCGTTGGTGAGCTACTAGTTACACCAAATTGACGATCAAATGCATTTTTTATAAAAGCTGCTACGTCCCTTCGAAAAAGTAATTGAGAATTACTATTCGAGATTTGATGAAATCGAGGATGATATCGTCCTCTACCCTCGGCTGATCATCAACGTCCCCGCTGGCATCTGTCATACTGGCACCTGTCATCTCGGCTGGCGGGGGACATTGCCTTGTTCAGAGAATTGATTATTGAGATATCTTGTTAATTAGATATCTTTGATAAAACGTAACGTCACGTTGGATCATGCATAAGAACACCAGGAGAATGAAAAAGGCGACTAGTGTTTCCTTCTGCCCTACCTATAAGATCCCGCACATCGGGGTTGACCCAGACAGCGCACATAAGCCAATTTCTGATAATGCCAAACGGGACCTTGGAATACAATTGCGTGTAACTCTTCGCAGCAGACTGTTTAGTCTATCGCAGTTATCAATTTAGACGTTAAACAATACTAATCGATTTATTTTTTTTCCTCCGCAGACTAACGAGAAAAAACGCACCTACTGCGTGATTGGTGCCGGAACAGCGGGACTATGCGCCGCGCGTCATGCACTACAAGCCGGCGGTGATATCACCGTTTTCGAGATGGGCAAACAGCTGGGCGGTACGTGGGTATTCAACGAAGAGATCGACAAGAATGAGTACGGCATTGATGTGCACTCGAGTATGTACAAGGGTCTGAGGACTAACTTGCCCAAAGAGATCATGGGTTACCCGGATTTCCCGATTCCGGAGCAGGATAGCAGCTACATTCCGGCGGAGGATATGCTGAGATTCTTTAAGTATTTCTCGGATTATTTCGGAATTACCGAGAATATAAAATTTAGTCACTATGTGATCCGGGTGAAGCCCACGAAGGATGAGAAACAGTGGGAGGTGATCGTCCGAGATTGTCCGAACGATGCACTCAAGACGTACTACTTTGACTATGTACTGATCTGCAACGGGCATTACCATACTCCAAGGTTACCCAACTATCCGGGATTGAATATATACAGAGGGAAACAAATGCACAGCCATGACTATCGATGTAACGATCCGTTTGTAGGTAAGGAACTTGAAACGCGGCTATGAATCGTTTTATCAATATTTAAAATACCAAATTCGTTCCAGGTGAAACCGTATTGGTAATTGGTGCTGGTCCTTCTGGTATGGATCTGGCATACGAGATCTCCAAGAAGGCAGAGCGAGTCACGTTGAGTCACCATCTCAAGGACAATCCCAAGACAGTCTTCCCGGACAATGTAACGCTGAAACACGATGTTGCTCGGTTGACCGAAACGGGTGTAGTCTTCGCAGATGGATCTTCACAAGACTTTAGCGTCATCTGCTACGGTACCGGCTACAAGTACACATTCCCGTTCCTGAGTTGCGATTGTGGTATTATCGTCGAGGACAACTTTGTTCAGAAGCTGTACAAGCACTGCATAAACATCCGTTATCCGACGATGGCGTTTATTGGATTGCCGTTTTATGTGTGCGCAGCACAGATGATGGATTTGCAGGCTCGGTTTTGCATAAAGTTCTTCAACGGGGAGAAGCAGCTGCCGTCGCAGGAGGACATGGAAGCGGATACCAATGCCGAGATGGAGGAACGCTGGCGTAGGGGTATGAAGAAGAGACAAGCTCACATGATGGGACCGCAGGAGGATCGGTACTACGATGATCTTGCCAAGACGGCCGGCGTGGATCCCATCAAGCCCGTTATCAAGAAGTTGCACAAACTCTGCGCCTTTCGGTTTAGTGAAGATTTGGTCAACTTTAGGAAGGACAAGTTCAGAATTGTTGACGATGAGACCTACGTTAAGATTTAATAGGGAAGATGTTAGTGCGTTAAGTTTATTACTAGATGTATATATTGTATGTTAGGTTCAGTTAATGGATTGAAATAAAGATTTGTTGACCGATACGGGTACAGATTTATAATGGCATATCAGAAATTCACATAAAGTTGATTTTTGTTGTTTCGAATTTTGTGCACGATGAAATCACAGACAAAAGGACAACAACAAAAACGTCAAACAACAAGACATTTGACTGCGATGCTACCAACCAAGAAATCTTTAAATTGACAGTTTCATTTTCATTTTCAAGCACAGAAGGGGGTCATAGCATAGAGGTAACTCTAAGACTGGTAGGTCCCGAAGAAACTTGCTCAACGGAAGGCTACAAACTGATGGTCCCGGCCGAAAAACACTTCAACGCAGTTCAGGCCCTCTTGGACAGAATGAAGCTGGAGTACTTCTCCCACGACATCGAGGCCACCTAGCCGCTGAAAGTGGTGCTGCGCGGGCTCCACGACATGGACACCACCACCTTAATGGACGAGATTAAGGCGAACGGCCTCAAGCCGGTCGAAGTCCACAAGATGACCCGCAGCAAGGCCATCAAGTATCGTGACCAGCTCTACCTGGTCCATCTGGAGAAGAACTCCACAACCGTGAAGGATCTCCAGACGACACGCACACTGTTCCACATCGTAGTGAAGTGGGAGCGGTATAAACCCACCCACCGTGGCGTCACTCAGTGCTCGAACTGCCTATTTTTCGGGCACGGCACCAGGAATTGCCGCATGGCCAGCCGCTGCATCAAATGCGGCAAAAACCACAAGATCGACAACTGCGACAGCATCGAGGAAGCCACTCCCACATGCGCCAACTGCGGTGCCGCCCACAAGGCCACGAGTAAGGCCTGTCCGAAGCGGGCCGAATACGCCGAGATCCGGAAGAAGGCCTCGTCCAACAGCCAGCCCGGTCGCAAGAAGGTTCCAGAAAACAACGCGCAGAACTTTCCTCCGTTATCACCGGTCCAATCACGGCCAATTCCAGTGTTGCCGCCGCTCCCGCTCAACCAACAGTTGGCTGCCACTGCAGTACCCGGTCAAGCCTCCGGGCCATCGACGGATCCCCCTGCTCCGGGATTGGCCGGTACAACCGGTGAAGCTACAGACGATTCTCCGCTGTCAACGGATGAGATCGTCACACTGTTGGCCCAGGCCATCATCATCAAGCGCACCTGCGCAACAAGAACACAACAGCTCCAAGCTATCATCTCCTTCGTCGCTAATTATGGACCGTGAACCCATAAAGATCGCCAACTGGAACGCTCGCTCCGTAGGGGCGAAAAACATTGAGCTTGCAGACTTCCTCCGCAAGCACGACATCGACGTGGGCCTTCTCACCGAGACCCACCTCAAGACCGGTGACAGCTTCTGGCTGCCCGACCACAGCATTGTCCGGCTTGATCGCACCAGCTCCAGGGGGGGGCGGTGTCGCGGTCATCATCAAGAAAGGCATCAAGTACTGCACCCTACCCCACTACCGCACTTCCATCATCGAGGCCGTCGGCGTTGAGGTGGAAACATCGACCGGAAACGTCCGGTTCATCGTTGTCTACTGCCCCCGGCAATGTACCGTTAGCAATGGTACAGCACAGCAGTTCAAGAACGACCTTGCCATCATAACCCGCACCAATGCCCGCTTCGTAATCGGAGGGGACCTGAACGCCCGGCACGAGGCCTGGCGGAACTACCAGCAGAACCTGCCGCCTGCTATTCGACCATTCCCAGCATGGTCTCTATTCCGTCTGGTTTCCGGACGAACCAACCTTCACATCACCGACGGGCAACCCATCGACGCTGGACCTGTTCTTGGCAAACACCAGATTAGCCAAGCCGGTTGCCGTCAACGACCTGAGTTCGGACCACCAACCGGTGCTGACCGAGCTGGGCTACAACGTGGCCCCTGCACCGTGCCAGCGGAAGGACTACCATCGAGTCAACTGGGTCCAGTTTCGACGCGTGGTCGACCGCCACATCGACGACAACCCACCGCTCGAAACAGTGGAGGACATCGACCGGGCCCTGGAGGGTCTCCATCAAGCCATATCCATGGCTGACGAAGAGTGCGTTCGACGAGTTCCTGTGAGGGGTAAGTTTCAAGCAATTTGTGTTTATTCCACTTCTCGCGCGAATCGAGATGACCATTCTCGTTTCCTTCTCGCGTGACAATTCTCACTCTATTCCGACTGTCGACTCGCACGACGCGAGATGTTCATTTTGCATCGAGAGGAAGGATGAATCGCACGCGAAGTGCTGTTCATTTCAAGAAACGTCAAACTGAAAGAGTTCATCGCGGAAGCTATGATAAGGACGTATGCAGTATTTTCTGATAAAACAGTAATTTGATTTTGGTATAAATATTAGTTTTTTCAATAAATAAAATCATAGATATGGATAAAAACAATAGAGCACACGTTTTTATATCATTTGAGAATTATAGCTTAAGGTTCTAAGTAACTTTCTGTGCCATTTTGATAGCACCACCGGTTATGTAATTTGGTCCTTTTTTGAGAGAAGTTTGTTGTTTTTAATTCGAAGATCTGTTTTTTGTGATCAACCAATCGTATCGGTGTTTAGTGGAAAGTTTTTCCGACTGGTTGAGTTTTCTGCTTTTTTTGGTTTTCTTGACCTGGAGAAAGAAATTGAAAATCCGCGATACAGCGGGATTGGAGCCGAGAAGCCAAGATCGAAACCGCTCAACGGTATTCGACTCTCGAAAAGGGAAGCTAAGCGTTGCGACGGGATAAGTGCCTATGAATGATACAATGAATAAAATAATCTCAGACGAAACACCTTAAATTAACCTGGAGTATTTTTGAAGTCCATATTGCCTTCTTTCTTGTTTGTTGAATTTTTTATTTTTCTAATTCATCACTAGGTTTTATCAATGATCCACTTCTTCACCTAAGTGTGCAGCTCATCCAGAATGTTTTCACTTGTTTTTATAATGGCACCGCCAACATCTGAAATATTCACCGCGCGAACCTCAAGTCCTTCGACGAACAATCTCTTCCCGGCGGGGATTTAAGTCAGCGTGTTTTAAATCGCAGCCCGAGTCTCCCCTCCTGCCGTTGAGTCCACGCAATGTGGACCAATCTCATCGACCAGGAGAAGAAGGGTATAGCCGGTATAGCCATCGCCAACAACTCGACTTCCGATAGGAAGCCGGTTTTACCCTTCTTACAGATAAGGGTATTCATATCAAGTGCCAGGTGATAGGTATTGTAGTCCTCCTATCGAACGCTAATGAATATCTTAGGAATTCCAAGATCCGGAGATAAAACAAGATCTGATAAAATTTGAATTATTCGTACAAAACAGCATATCTCCTAAACAAAACAGTTGCCAAACGAAAGGTATTTAAATCCCACAGTACTTTAGCTGGGATTATCTGAAGTTGGATCAGACATTCTTGAGTTATGACCGCGAATATAAAACAGCAAAAGGGTTTATCTTCCATTTAATTCCACTTAATTAATTTTTGTATCCATGACAGATACGTATTTCGACTACAATGTGCAGTCTTCATCAGTGTCATTCCCACTAAAGAACTTATCAAAATCTAACCCCCTTAAGTACTCATCCCCTAGGTAAAAAAGTCAAGATCATAGGTATAAAAATGAAACTACAATGTGTTGAATCGGAACCTACCTAACTAATAAAAACCAAAGATTTAAGTAAGCTAAAGGAGAAAAATCTATACAAATCTCTAATAAGGAAACCGCGAATGATTTGGAAATGCCTGGTTATGGGTACAAAACATCATATATTATCAACAACTGAACCGTGTTTGACAAAACAACCGCCAAACGAACGGAATTGAAGTCCCACTGTACTCTATTTAAAAATATTTGGAGTTAGTTCAGAAGTTCTGAAGTTATGACCTGAATAAAGTCTGGGTTTGTTAGTTCATTGGTACAAAATCACATATCTTCTCAACTACCGAACCAAATTTGACAAAACAACCGCATCCTTTCGTTAGGCAGTATCTTAGCTGGGAATATCTGGAATTGGTACAAAACAAGATATTTTCTCAACAACTAAACTAAAATTGACAAAACAATCGCCAAACGAAAGGTATTGATACTCTACAGTACCTGAACGAGGAATATCTAGATTTTAATGATCTGGGAATGCCAGGTTATTGGTACAAAATGGCATATATCCTCATTAACTGTAACAAATTGGACAAAACAACTGCCAAACGAAAGGTCCTGGGACCTTATAATTTTTTTTCTTGAATGTCATAAGAAATTGACTGGTGTCGAAGTTATCATCAGAACCACTGATCCAAATTTGACATACCAACCACCAATCGAAAGGTTTTGGAGTCCAACAAATCTCTAATTAAGAAAATCTGAGATTGGTTCACACTATCTGAAGTTATAAGTTATAAACGTTTTTTTTTTTAAATATTAACGATGAATGATATCTGACATAAGAGTCGTTCAAAATATTCTCACTACGGAGCGCTAGAATACATGTGAAATTCCCGCATGTGATATATACGTGCAATTATCGCATATACAATAGCTCGAGATCCTGAGCAGATAGAAAGCTACTGTTTTCGGCAAACTTGTTCATTGGGTCAAGACTTTTTGGCTGGTGCACAGTAGCCCAGAATTTTCTCACCACGTGGCGCTAGTAAACTTGTACAATTCTCGCGTATGCTATAGCTCGTGATTCTGAACAGGTAGAAAATTACTGTCTTCGAAAAAGTTGTTCATGAAGTCAATGTCTATTGCTTGGTGCACAATAGTTCAGAATTTTCACACTAAGTGGCGTTAGTATACACGCAAAATTCTAGCATGTAAAATATCTCGAGATTCTGTTCAGATAGATTTCGCTAGTGGACAGTAGTTCAAAATTTTCTCACTATGTAGCGCTAGAATACACGTGAAATTCTCGCATGTGGTTTGTTTCGAGATCCTGACCAGATAGAAAGTTTCTGTCTTCGCAAAGTTGAGAATTTCCTAAGCGGCGCTAGTATACACGTGAAATTTTCACATGTAAAATATCACGAGATCCTGACCCTATGTTCGGCAAAGTTGTTCAGGGAGCCAAAGCCTTT